TTGATATTTTTAAGAAGTCCATATAAGAGGAACCACACAGTGTGTCATCTTCTGAATCAGGCTTCTTGTACTTAGCTGGATGCGTGTAAGATTCATATTGCATCTGTCTTTATTGATAAGTAATGTTCCACTCTGAGGAGGTGTCACAGTCTATTCATTCACAGCATTTAGCAAGCTTGTTGGTTTGGGTGATTATGACTAAAGCAATAAACTTCCACAGTCATACAGCAGTGGAGGAGGAGAGGAAAGATGGGGGCAAGGGGAGGAAGGTCACACATTTAAAGATGGGAAAAATGAACTTGTCCAGCGTTACACAGGCAGAGCTGGAATGCGAGTGCAGGACTTTTGCCTCTGGTGGTCACACCCCCCATCACCTCAGGCTCTCATTAACAAAACCACACTCAGATTTACACATGGGTTTGATGACCTGGAGCCAAAGGAACGACTGTGCATTTGAGCGAGGACTCTAAACCTTTCCGTTCAGTGACTATCATTTTGTACCTCCAGGTCTGACACGTGGCGCCTGGTGAACCCACCAGCACGACCTCACCTTGAAAACTCTCTTAGAGGCTCATCTGCAGCCCATAATGGGCAGAAGGTAGCAGCCATGGCAACCAGGATCACAGCCCGTGTAGAAGGTGGTTACCACAGGAATCGCAGCATTTTCTGCACCATCTTATAAGTTGGGAGACCTGCCACAGCTTAGGTCTGGGCCTTGGGAGGCTGGCTGGGGTAGGAGGTGGTGCTGTTAGGAGTCCTGGAACTGCAGCCACATTTCCTGCTCTCAGATTGTGACCTTGACAGGTGCTCAGAAGAGCTAGTGAACGAAGGCCTTTACAATGGAAGTAGCAGTGCCCAAGAAGACTCCAGACCTTTTCTGTGCTTCTCTCCACCGTGTAAAAAAAAACACAAAAAAAACAGGCTCCCAGGGCTCCTGGAGACTCAGAACAAGTCACCTTCAAGAGCTGCCATTCCACAACCCACAGGAGGAAAGAATTTGGAAATGCAATCAAGGGGACTGGGGTGGGGGAGGAAAGCTGGTGGGTTTTGTCACTCAAGCACTTGAGATTCTAAAGGGTTGAGGACAGTTTCTAGTTAAGTTACAAGGAGCCACCTTACACCAAATACAGACTCCTCTCAGGGAAGAGCAGATTTACTCCTAAAAGGAGATTATTTTGCTGAGGTGGAAAGAGGCAGTTGCCCTAGAATTTTCCCTTTCCCTACTCGTCTCTCTTGATCCCACAGGGACCCAGCATGTTCTTCTAGCTGCCTTTGGAGCCTGCTCTTGGTTCTGTTTGACTCGAGATTGTTCTCTTAATCTTGGATGTTAACTTGTGAGGGCTAAGGGGCTGTCTCAATGATGTCAATGCTGAAAACAGGAGGGGTGTGGGCAGGGGACTTCCTTGAAGTGGCTCAGGAGTGCAGGTGGGTGCTAGGCTGGCCAGGTGCAGATGCCACAGTTCAGGAGGCCACTGACAGACCTCAGTGCCAGCAACACAAGGTGCAAATGCCATGTGACAGCTCCCACGTCAGCTCTGCCTACTGGGTACCAGGTTTCCACACTAGAAGATGGGCGTGCCTCGTTGGGTCCCTGTATGTATCCATGTTCCTTCCTGGGTAGTCGCCTGCCTTTTTGATTGCCCCGACCATGCTTCCCCACTCTGTGCCTTGGCTCTTGCTCTCTTCCCGGCATGCCCTTCTCCACCATCTCCCCATCAAGGATTAGCTGACACTGCCATCTCCACGCAGCACGCCCTTCCCTTCTCTGAGCCCCAGTAGCTCTTCCTCTGTCCCCTCTCAGGGTACTAAGCACTCTCTGCCTTGTCTTGGAGCATCTGGGTCATGACTTGTTTGCCTGTCAGCTCCCCAATGGTAGAGGAGGGCCACTTCCTACTGTGTCTGTGCCCTCAGCATGCAGTTCAGGGCTGGGATGGGATTAGTGGCCTGAGAGGAAGGCTGGCTTCCCAAAGGGCTTTACTGAACTGTAATGTGAATGTGTCAAGGTTCCAGAGCCAGCGAGTTCAGACCCCAGTTGCTTGAGGAAGTGGGCTGGCCCAGCCTGCATATTCCCACTACCTTTCAGCCTTCCATGCGGGGCCCTCACCAGCCTGCTGGAGTTGCCATCATGCACTGATGGCTTCCCGGGCTGGTCTTACAGGCCCTTGGTGCTGCTCTGCTGGGTGGGGCAGGAGCGGGGTAGAGGGAGCCAGGAGCACTGGCTTCCCCAAGGACTCTGGGCACAACAGTGCTGGCCCCTCCTGTCTCCAGCACTGCCCCTCACACTCCTCTTTAGTGGCCTGAATGTGAGTTGCTGTACAAAAAAGCTGCCTTTATTTTGTAAGAAATTACTTTTCTGTGAATCAAGTACTTAAAATCTCAATAACCAAATAAAGTACTATATTTTGCGAGGCACTCGGGTGTCCTTGGTGTGGGTGCATCGGGTACTGGATGCTGGCACAGCACTGCTCTCTGTCTAGCCTTCCCAGAAGCACCACTGCTTCCTCCAGAGGGGACAGCTGAATCCCGGGCCTGCCCTGTCAATTCAGATTGTTCCCATAATTCCAGGATCAAAACAATAGCTGCATTTCTCAGAATTCCTGCATCTATAAGGGCTTACGGTGCTGGTATTGCCTGCCCCATGGGGCTTTGTGAAGATCAACAATATCAGTCCCTGTGCAAAGAGTTTTTCAGCTCCAGTAACACATTTTCCTAAATTCAGTCACTTAGTATTTTCTAGCCACTGTGGTTATGTAATGTCCTTAACACGTTTACACTGAACTATTTATTAAAAGGGTGTGATATCTATAAATAATTCTGGAAAGTGTGTGTACTAGAACTATAAATAGTAAGTATTAATACAGAATCTAGGCAAAAAGGTATAGTTCTTTGTATTATTCTTGCAGATTTCCTCTAAAGGTCAAATTACATGAAAATATTTTTGAAATGGCATTGAATTAGCTATTTCCAGGTTGGGGTCCCAGGAGAATGTTAACAGTACTCACCAGGTCAGAGCTCCAGGCAGAGCTTTCTTTCCCTCCAGTGAGAAGCCTGTGCTCTGTTAACAACACCCACAGGAGATCGTTACTCCACAAACTACAAGTCTAATTTAGGACAAGCACATCCAACCTTGTTGCTTTCACTTTAACAAGGGTATCTGGAGATGTTCTGGCAAATAACTTGGTGAGATCAAAGTATCCTTTTTTAATGTGTAGGTAAATAAACGGATTTCTAAAGGAAACCTTGTACAACTGTTATTATTGTTTTCTGCCCAGTCACCCTGCCAAGGAAAGAGTATTGTTCATGTATGGCTCAGATGACAGACACAGACAGCTGCCATCCTGGGCTCTGTACTCAGAGCTATCATGGGATGTTGATGTTGAATAGGACACTGTTTTGAGCATTTCCAATAACAAAAGAATTGATGCTTTGGAAGCGTGGTGTTGGAGAAGAGTTCTGAATATCCCAAGGACTATCAAAAGCACAAACAGGTATGTTTCGGAGAAGGTGCAGCCAGAGTGCTCCTTGGAGGCAAAGATGATGAAGCTTCACTTCACATACATTGTGCATGTTGCTAGGAGAGGTTATTCCTTGGAGAAGGACATCATGCTTGGGAAGGTGGAGAGCAACAGCGAAAGAGAGGAAGACCCTCAGCCAGGTGGACTGACAGAATTACTGCAGCAATGGGCTTGGGTGTATCAGAGATTGTGAGGATGGCAAAGGATAGGACAAGGGTTCAAATCTGTTGCTCGTTGGGTTGCTATGAGCCTTACTTGGCTTGATGGTATCTAACAAGAATTATCTATAAACTTGATAAACAGAAATTTGATTTTCACTCAGCCACTACCACTCTTCAAAGCGTGAACGTCTGAGACAGCTAGGACTGAGATTGTCCAAAGGAGCTTGGTCACATGGGATTCTTAGCAGTTAAGCCTCAGTGTGTCGTGGACCTCAGTCACATACTGTGATTCCTAGGAATTAAGCCTTCATGGGTCAAACTCTTCAGAATAGAAAAGGTATTCATAAAAACACATTCTAGCCTCAAAGTACATTAAAGTCCTGCTCCCAAAGACAGATCAGAAATGTGTTTTGATTTCCTAACCTCACCTGCTGGAGGGAGACACAATGTCACAAATGCCCACTATACAGGATCAGATGCAAATAGAGCATGGAAGAGTCTGCCTTCCTACAATTACAGGACTGAAGATATCAGACTCAGTACTCTCTAGCTACGAGGATTCTGGGTACATACTGGATGTACTCAGGTACAGAGAAAGCAAGATGGAGGCCAGCTTCCTGGTCTTTGGGCTACTGACAAGGCAGGGGAAATGGATGGCTCAAAGCCAGGCCTCCTAACGATTTTCTCGAACTCTATCCAGGTAGTAAATCCTTTTAAGATCTAGAAGTTTGTTTTCTGTGCTGAACTGATCCACGCCCCTGCAAAGTATGGCTCTCAGGGCTGACCCTGGCCTTCTCAAGGTTTGAGCCGTGCAGACAGAACTGGAGCAATCACTGCCTTTGATGTGGCTCTACCCAGGCAAGTAGCTTCAAACTAAAATGGACTGTTCTGGCAGCCCCATCACACCAGTAACCAACCACTAATAAAACCTAAAGCTTCCTTCCATCCGTGCTAAGTACATGCTCTTCTCCAAGTCCTTCTAGTGTGGCACTTCACATTTTTCTTTATAAACCTTCTTCCTTTAGGTTTGGCCCAGGGTCCAGAATGGAGAGAGAACTTTTGATTCCAACTTCCTCCCCAGGTCTCACCTCAAACCCCGCGACCTGTGAACCAACATGAATAACACCAAAGGAGAGACACGAAGTCCATTCTGGCCATCATTGTATTTCCATTTAAAACAGAAAGCGTGTGCCAAATGCTGGCTTCTGGCTTCAAACCACCAAAGCAAGGCTCCTTTTTACCTCTCTTTAAAGAAAAAAGAGGCAATAAAGTGGAAGTAGTGGCTATGACCTGGTGGCCAAAATGCTCTGTGGAAAGCAGATGGCTACTTGACTCTTCTCCTCTTTGACTGGTGTTCCGAAGTCTGTGCTGGCGGCAGCGGGATGGACAGGGTGCCCAGTCTGTGATCCTCGTCGCCGCCATCTGCTGCAGACACCCTTATTTTCGAGATCTTCAGCCGTAGAGCTTTTGCTATCTCAATTATCCTAAGAAAGAAACACAAAAGAAATTGAGGCAGGAGTGAGTGGTATATTAAATCCCACAAGCCAAGAAAGCAACCACTTTGAACAAAGCCCCCAGCAGAGAGGTAGACCAGATACTCCTGAGAACTCATCAGACGGACATTTCATTTTAATGTGTTGCCATCAGGCAAGCTGTGCAGGTGATGATAAACCAATTACTGAGACTACTGTTAGTAACTTTCTTGCTTCCTTTAAATAAATTCTAAAAGTAATGAGGGTTGAACATTTTCCAGAACCTTGTAGACTCTATGTATTCTCTTACTTTCCAACCTCACTGTCTGTAAGAATGCCATTTGTGGGCAACCCTCAAAACAAACATTTCATGTTCCTGCAGCAAAAGACTCTGGACTAAGGTGTTGCCATAGGTTCTCCAGTAGCCTGTCAGGGTCTGTGGATGGCAAACTATAAAACCAAACCAAAGGGAGCTCTGGTGGCCTAGTGGCAAGAATCTGCACTACAATACCAGAGGTATATAGTTCTAATCCACCAGATGCTCTACTGGAGAAAGAGGGGCAATCTCCTGCTGTACCAGTCAGATCCGATTTGATTGATAATAAAACAATAAAATTAAAAAAACAACACCCACTGCTATCAAGTTGACTGACGCATAGCAGCCCTCCATCACGTTTCTGAGGCTCGTAAATCTTACAAGCGACTGCTCATCTTTCTCCCACGGGGTGTTAGTGGATTTGAACTGCCAACTTTTTAGTTAGCAGCCCAACACATTGTGCACTATGCCAATGTGTCCAGGACTCCTCCCTGGACATCAGCTGTCCCTAAATAAACAACTAAGGCCAAATGGCCCCCACAGTCCGGGACTCAAGGGAGTTATGGCTCTACTAAGGCTGAATCTCTGCTGACAGATCTAGTTGTTGTTAAGTGCCATCAGTTCAGCCAGGCTCTTGTTACCTGCTCTCTTGCTTTTATGTTTTGCCACTAGGAGTATGGCATCTATCTGTCAGTTTGCTGTACTGAGGGAGTGGGAGTGGTGGTCAAGGGTGTGGTAGGAGACTAGGGGGGAATGGTTTGCATAGTGCTGCTTACTTTAAAATTTGTGTTTGTTTATTCATACTTTGTTCTTATCAGTACTATACTTGTCTGTCAGTTTACTGTACTGAGGTAGCTTGCTGGCTGTGGTGCTTGAAGCTGTGCCACTGGTATTTTAATACCAGTAGATTACCCATGGTGGACAGGTTTCAGCAGAGCTTCCAGATTAAGGAAAGCCATCATTTCTGAAATAAATGGGTCTTTAAAAACCCTATGAACTGACTCAGAGGGGGCCTTAAGTTAGGTCATCTCTCTCAACTCATTTAGGGAAGCCTAAATGTGGCATCCTTGTCTAACAACAGCTCTGTTTTATTTCAAAGTAGTGCCTTGGCTGCCCCTTCCATCTGATCCTGAAAAAATCATTTTTGCTAAGTTGTAATTGGGTTTTCTTACAACTTATACCCATGGGTTCCACTGCTGAGGGTCATAAAGAGTCGCTCTCCTCACTGACAACGATCCAGAGAATGAAGGCTTCTTAGTTATAAAGGAAAAGAATGCACTGTGAAGACTCAGCTCATGTCCAGCTACTCTCCTTGGTTGTATGACTCTAGAGAAATCATTTCTCAACTGCTTTTTAAGGAAATTGGTGGGATCATGTCAGAAGTACCTATTGTGCCCATGTAGAGTACTTGGTCATATCTGATTACTCATCCATTCAACCATTGATTCACTGAAAATTGTGAGATCATTTGCTTCCAACTTCCCCAGGCCCCACTCTTCCAAATTCCCACACCCGTTCCTAAATTTCTCATATGAATTATTCCTTGTTCCTTTAATGGTGCTTCAAGCTTTCCAGAGGAACTAGAAATAGTTCATATTAATTAGTACCCCTACTAGAAGAAAACAAATATTTCTTTCCATTACCTGAGCAAACTTCTTAATTATCAATGAACAAATCCCAAGCCCACAGACATTAAGACAAAGGCCAGATCATGGGTTTGTAGGCACAGTAGGCTCCCCAAGGGGAAGATTTTTATGTGGGTGTGCTCACCTTTTCTCACTGAGTTTCAGGTCCCTTTGTAACATCGTCAGGTCAACCTGGAAATTACTTATATGCAAGGCAAGTATGATCGCATATGCTGTAATCTTTGCCTTCATTGAATCCGATATTAAGTTTCGTAAGCTGCAGAATCAGAAATGGGAAAGGAGATACAAAGTTAAACTCTGGGTGGACATCTCCCCAAGTGTAAACCTTTAATCTTGTTCTCCTGGGTACTCCATGTCGTCTACCTTAAGAGAAGAAAGGCAGTTCAGGCAACATTCCTTGCTCTTAAAGGAGCCTGAGCCTTCACACTGACTGGAGCAGTGAACCAATGCCAGCATTTCCCTCAGTGGGATGTGCAGGCAAGCCGACCCCTGCCCAGCCACGATTAGAGCTTCTCATTGGTGAGGACTTTGTTCCTTGTTTGCTCAGCAGAGTAGCTGGGGAAACTGTCATCCCTGACATAGTTGCTGATCATTCTCCAAGCACAGAACAGCCTTCAAATGCAATGTTCTCTTCAACTCTGTACTGTATCTCAGTGGACATGGCACAGACACCAAGCCCTGCCTCCCAATCCCACACCTTGCCCACACCCTACTAGATCGTTCACAAGCAGAAAACCAGAAACCAACTCCTCTGACCTGCCATTGTTGTAAGTTAAGCAGGTGAAATGCTTCAGGAGTTTCATGTTGATGATATGCGGAATTCCAGGTCCCAAGGCACCTAAAACACAGTTGAATTTATTTTCTTTCACAGTTAAAACCAACACACTTAGATAGAGAAGTCGAATTATTCCCCCTCCTCATTACTTAGCTGACCTAAGATTTATACACAAATAATGGACTGAGAAACAGCTAAAGTAAAATGTCTGTCATGGGCTTACTTTTCCGCTTAATCACTTTTTGAGCTCGAAATCTGATAAGTGTGTCCAGGAACCAGATGCATCGGGCCTGGTGGTCTCGGCTCTCCACATCTGACGGCAAGGATTTCAGTGCTTTAGTGACAAAGGAGCAGTGGCTGCAGTAAGGGGAAAGGAAGGAGAGATGAGGAGAGACGCGCTCTGTCAGGAACCATGCACCCCTCACAATGAGAACAGGGGGCACCTCTCCACATTCAACAGGCAATGGAGGGCGTCACATTCACCTCCTCATAATGAGAACGGTGGGCACCTCTCCATATGACACACATGCAGTAGGCATTGGAGGGCGTCGTCACGTTCACCCCTCACAATGAGAACAGTGGACACCTCTCCACATGACACACATTCAACAGGCAATGGAGGGTGTCACAGTCAGTACTTCCAGCATGGCTGACTGCAGGTGCTGGTAAAGGGCCAGAGCATAAATGTTTTAGGCTCTGGGAGCATTACAGGCTCTGAGGAAATTGCTCACACCAGGCTCTGGTTCATACCTCAACTTGTGCCCAGTCCCAGGTTCTGCACATTACAGACCAACCCTCCCTTAAAAGCCACTCACAGGTGTAGAGGCCTTAACATTCAAAGAAAGATTGGGTCACTCGTGTTCAAGTGCTGAACAGACATGCCTCCTCACTGACCACAAAGATCCCAGCATCACACCCCCAGACCTTCACCTACCCAAGCGGGGTTACCTGTTCTCTTTAATCATATTCAGAATTTCCTCTGATGTGACATTTCTAAAAGCTTCAGATGGGTTTTTAAGAGCTTCATACTCCACGGGGGAAAGAACTAGTTACAGGTCAAGAACACAATCCAACCAAAATGAAAACATCCCACTAGCTCTTTCCTTAGCTTCTTAATAGCTTCCCCACTTCGGAGGTTTTTTTTAAAATTTCTTATAAACAGCCAGTCATTTGCTGTTGAGGCTGTCCTATTCCTGAGACAGGAAATTCTACTTTCTTATTGTTACAGTTCAAGAGCTTTCATATTCACTCTCTCATATGAACTTCACAAGAAACCAATTACAGAGGCAAAACAAGAATGACAAGCCTTATTTCTTCAGTTGTGAAAGCACAGGCTTAGAGAGGTGAAGACAGTTGTCCGTGGCCACGTCTGATACAGAGTAGAGCCTAAAGCCAAGCCAACCAATGCCAAAAGCCATTCTCAGCACCCTGTGAGCCTAGGCAGCCCTAGGCCACCTCTCTCTGGAGCACACCATTAAAGCACTAGAGCAGACTTAGGTTATTAACTCAAGTTCAAGTCTACTGAACACTATCTGTCTCCAATTAGCCCCATTCTTAACTTTTGTTTACACAAGAGAAGACACCAGCATTTTCAATTTAAGGACAGGAAGGGAAAGAACAAGGGCTTAGTGGGGGAAGTGTTTTGATCAGTGAATCGTTAATGCTGGTTCTAGTCTTTGGTGTGTTACCAAGCTGGCCAACCAGGGGCAAGTCACTTCTCCATCCTCAGACCTAGTGCCTCATCTGTTAAAATTAGAGACAATCACTTCATACTCCTGTTTTTAGGTGCTGTCAAATCGACCACAACTAATAGCAGCTCTATGAACCACAGATTGAACCTTGCTTGATCTTATGCCATCCTCATCATAGAGCCCATTACTCCTAGGATGGTGACAATAAAAAAAAGACACAGCAATGAGTGCTGGTGAGAACTGGAACCGGAACCCTGTACACTGATGGTGGAAACGTAAAACAGCAGGTCCTTTCAAAACCAGTCTGGCAGTCCTTAAAGGAACTAGCCTGGTTACCGAAGGATGTAACAACTGCACTAACAGGTACACACCCATAAAAAAGGGAAACATGTTCACACAAAAACTGGCATATGAACGGTCACAGCAACGTTATTCCCACCAGCAAAAAGTGAAAACCCAAACATGTATAACTGATAAACAGATAAATGTCGCCAGGGGTTGGGAGCAGTCGTTGGGAATTAGGAGTGACTGTTAATGGGCATCACTCCTTTTAGGGGGAAAGAAAATGTTCTAAAATCAGTAACCTAGAATTAGCTGTGTCATCTTCTAAGTCTATTAAAAAGCATGAATTGTTTACATTAAAGGGTGAATTGTAGTGTATGTGAATATGATTTCAAAATTGTTTAAGAAAATTGAGGGGGAATAAAGAGAAAGAGAGCGGAGAATGAGTTGCTGCCCTTCTACCATCCTGGGCTCATTAACAATGGAACACACAATTATGCTGCAAAAGTGCTTAGTAAAAGGCAAAGTATCATAAAAAGGCCATTATTATTACTACTACTACAACAACAACAGATGAAACTGCTCTCATGTGTAAAGGCAGCGAATTCTCAAGTACGCAAGTTTAAAGTGCGTTTTAAACTATCCCGCACCAACAGTGAAATGTGTAGTGAAATGAGGACAATTAGGCTGACTCTGTACTCGAAAGAAAACTATCCTTCAGCATGAGGGAAGTTATCCTACTCGCAGACACAGAAGAAAGGAGGGATTATCAAAAGAATGGTGTGTGAATAAGGAACTCCACTTTGATGGGAGACTCTAGGATAATGTGTGACTCGTTCATTTCTAGGCAGGCCTGCCAAACAAGTCAGCAAGGAGATTATCTATCAAACACCTGGACTTTCAGTCTTCTCTCTTATCACAAAGCCATGGCACACATGTCCCATCTGATGAAGGCAACAAGAAATTAAATTCTAAGCTTCAGTCCTTCCTTTCACAAAATGAGTCTGCCCTGGACTTTTGCTCAAGTCACATTTTTAGTATACAGGGAGACGGGCGTCTGAGGTCTAAGCAGTGTGTGTGTGCAGCATCTCAGTGAGGAACACGGCAGATCTCTCTGCTCCTGAAGCCTAGGAGACCCCCCAGCAACATTACTGAGGCAACTACAAAGGTTTGTGTGTAGTCTTTTTGATTGTCAGCCTACACCATTCATGAACAAAAACCCCAACACAGGAGCTGAGACAGCATTTCTCCTTTCAAAAGGATACGATCTTCAAATTTATACACGTCTTCAAGCTTGGCTGCATCAGCATAGCAGGGAGGAAGGTAGAGGGAATCATCTTGCAAGTCATCGTGGATGGCATCGTTGACCAGAGCTTGTCAATAGAGAATGAATCAGCATCAGCATTAGGTAATGCTGGGGCCCCAAGTTCCCCCACAATCTTTACAGTCTATGCACTGAAGACCACAAATGGCCAGAAACACCTCGTCTGAATCTTTCAACCAACTTAGTCCAACGTCTTCATGAGGCTGACTGCTCCAGGACTACCATGCTTACCCATGAAATAAACATTAACCAAGCACTAATGGAAGGGGGACAGAGGACAGTTCCCCACTCAAGTCATTTGCAGAGTGTAGATGGAGAGATAAGATACACTAAAAAAATACTTGCATTAGAGAAGCTAGAAATAAGGGAGATTCAAGACAGCCTGTAGTGACTTCTAGAAAATTTCTCCACAAATTCTACATGGGAAATAAAGTCATATATCTACCATACCAAAATAAGCATGCAAGAATTGCATATGCACATAGAAGGGCGGAGCTCTGGTGGTTTAATGGTAAGGAACTGTGCTACTAACACAAAGGTATGTGGTTCAAATCCATCCAGTTGTTCTATAGGAGAAAGATGGACAATCTCCTCCCACCCCATGCAATTTACTGCTTCTGAAAACCTGCTGGAGGGTCAGCTATGGGTCAGTTCTGACTTAATGGTATTCAACAGAAGGGTGATGAGGGAAACAGCACAATTCCTTACTGCTAAGGCACCAGAGAGTCCCTACTGGATGATATTTGATGATAAGCCTCTGTAATTAAAACACCCTGGTGCAGCTATCTGATAACCAGTCAGGCAGTGGAAATACTTGTAAATATAGTCAAATGATAAAGATGGGGCTAAGATCAGGTGGTTAATTATATAGAAAATATAAAACTAGATCGGAGTCTCATATGATTTTGCAAGAGAAACTACAAGTTAAGGTTTCAATGTAAAAAATATAAATTCATAAATGTGGGAAATTTTCAAGAAATTACTAAAATTCTATTTCAATTGAAAAAAACTGTTCTTATAAGAAAACCTCCTTGTATTCTTATAATGCTTTTAATACATATTTAAATATATTTAAGTACTCAAACTGCCTAGGAACTGAGGACTGGAAAAAAGTCTATCGACACCCAGTCATTGTCCGCCGATCTCAAAAGGAAATACTACTCCTAGTGACCTAGTTCAGGCCTCTTTGGCTCAAAGCCTCCCTGGATTCAACAGAGATAAGCGAAGCCTCCTCCCTCCTGGGCCCACACCGTGTCCCTGCAGGCCGCGACCCTGGTGCCAAGAACCTAGCTGTGCCCTATCCACTAACACGCCCATCTCAACTACTTGTCTGTGAGCTCACAGCCATCTCTGATGATTCTTACTACTATACAAAGAATCCAGCTTCGACTCCATCATTTTCATGGACAAAGATCTCAAACTACTATACAAAGAATCCAGCTTCGACTCCATCATTTTCATGGAGAAAGATCTCAAAAGACGAGAAAGCTGTCTTCCCTGGCACTCTCTTACCCACGTTCCAGCTGCTTACCGGTCACCCCCTTTGTATCAATGATATTCTCGGCAGCTTTAGTCACTGCAAGATTCAAAGACTCATTGCCAACTTTGTTCATTCTTCTGGAGTTC